AGAGATCGAGACCATCCTGGTCAACATGGTGAAACCCCGACTCTACTAAAAATACAAAAAAAATTAGCTGGGCATGGTGGCGCGTGCCTGTAATCCCAGCTACTCAGGAGGCTGAGGCAGGAGAATTGTTTGAACCCGGGAGGCGGAGGTTGCGGTGAGCCGAGATCGCGCCATTGCACTCCAGCCTGGGTAACAAGAGCGAAACTCCATCTCAAAAAAAAAAAAAAAGAATATATACAAGTGGCCAAGAAACATTTGAGAAAATAGCCAGTATTACTACTCATCAGAGAAATGTGAGTTAGAACCACAAAGATGCCATCTACACCAGTCAGAATGGCTATTAAAAAGTCAAGCAATTACAGATGCTGACAAGGATGTGTAGAAAAAGGAATGCTTATACACTCTTATTGGGAATGTAAAATAGTTCAACCCCTATGGAAAACAGTATGGAGATTTGGCAAAGAACTAAAAATAGAACTACCATTTGATCTAGCATTCCCACTACTGGGTAACTATGCAAAGGAAAATAAATCGTTCTATCAAAAGACACCTGCACTCAGGTGTGTATTGCTGCACTAGTCACAATAGCAAAGTCGTGGAATCAACCTAAGTGCCCATGCATGGTGGGCTGGATAAAGAAAATGTGATACATATACACAGTGGAATACTATGCAGGCCTAAAAAAGAATCAAATCATCTCCTTTGCAACAACATGGATGCAGCTGGAGGCCATTATCCTAAGTGAATTAACGTAGAAACAGAAAGCCAACTTTTGCATATTTTTACTTATAAATGGGAGCTAAACAATGGGCATATGTGGACATAAAGATACAAACAGTGGACACTGGGGATTCCAGGAGAGGAGAGGAAGGATGTGGGTAAGGGCTGAAAACTACCTATTGGGTACCATGTTCACGATTGGGGTGATGGTTTCAATAGCAGCTCAAAGCCCAGCATTACACAATATACCCTTCTAACACACCTCCACAAATACATCCTGAGTCTACATTTTTTTTTAATTTAATTTTTTAGAAACTCATTTTCCATGCCTGGTCATTTCTGTTTATGATTCTCTTGGTCAAAACTGCTATCTAGGCAGTTGCCAGTCCTTCGGGATTTCCAGGCAGAAACTATAACGAGAATTAAAAACCAGTGGGCTGGGAGCCCCAAGTCCCCAAACACCTTCACAGTCAGCCATGTGATGCTCCTGATTTACGAACCACACGCAGAGGCAAGCTGCGGGGTCTGCTGGATCAGAGCAGATTGCAGCCAGGCTGGCCTTCTCGAAAGATCCACACACTGGTCCCGGGACCCTGGGATGCCCCTACTCCCCCGACTCTGTTTATGTTCACTATCACACACTGAACAGTCATGTGCTACACCTCACAGTCAGCAAGTTTATCCTGAGTTAAAATTTGACCAGTAGAAACCAAGTTGTGTTTACCCCCGTTCTGTAGCAAGTCATGCGCAAATTGCACCTGTGAACATTTTTCAGCACACATTCTGTACTCCCTCCATAGTTCTCATGGCAATGAATGCTGTGGGGAAAGCCAGCAAGTGTGAACGCTTTGGCAAATGTTCAAATGCTCTCCAGAAATGGTTCACAATCACGGCCATCACGGTGCATGGGTCCTGGCCATCCTCATCGCCAGAGCACAGTCACTGAGTTGAGTCGTCTCTCTTCTACACATGCAAACTCAACCCAATAGCCCCTGTCCTGAACAGATTAGAAACTCTGAATGCTGTGATAAGTATTTTCTCACTGTAATAACAATACTCTACACTTAGGCTTTTGTTAGAATTTAAAAGAATTTTATAGACTGGATTTCAAAACACTTTCCAACTGTTTTATTTCCTATTTATGCATTGGTCATAATGTGTTAAGCACAATTCTAAGTGCTTTCAAACATTATTAATTCATTTACTCCTCCTGACAACTTGGCGAGATAAGTACCATTACTCCATTTTACAGATCTGCAAACTGAGGCACAAAGAGATGATTTTTCCAAGTTTACGTACATTGCTAGTAAGCGGTAGAGCCAGTGAGTTGAACCCAGGCCCAGACAAGAGCAAGTATATACCCATTTTCCATGCTGTCTTACTATGTAAAATGTACGTATTGGTAACATTATCTCACTCTCTCTCTTTTTTTTGCAGATAAATTGAAGAGAAGCTGATTTTTAAAAATATTTACTATATGAATTTGCTAGGGCTATCAAAACAAAGTACCCTAGACTGAGTGACTTAAGATATATAATTTATTTTCTCACAATTCTAGAGGCTAGATGTCTGAGCTCAAGGTGCCGTCAGGGTTGGTTTGTCCTGAGGGCTTTCTCTTTGGCTCATAGACCGCCACCTTCACCGGTTCACTTTACATGGTTTCACTCTGAATGCATCGTATCCTAATTTCCTCTTCTTAAAAAACACCAGCCATTCAGGCTTAGGGCACACAGTAATGACCTCATTTGAACTTAATTACCTCTTTAAGAACCTGTCTCCAAATAGAGTCCCATTCTGAGGTAGTGGGGTTAGGGGTTCAACATATGAATTTAGGGAGACACAATTCACTGTAACATCTACCACATAGTCATAATATGCTAGTTATTATATGAAATGTCAAAATGTTGAGCTCCAAATTATTTGAGAAGGCACAATAGTCATTGTGGACGTTTATTTTATTTTATTTATTTATTTATTTTTGAGATGGAGTTTCACTCTTGTTACCCAGGCTGGAGTGCAATGGCGCGATCTCGGCTCACCGCAACCTCCTGCCTCCTGGGTTCAGGCAATTCTCCTGCCTCAGCCTCCCTAGTAGCTGGGACTACAGGTGTGCGCCATCCATGCCCAGCTAATTTTTGTATTTTTAGTAGAGACGGGGTTTCACCACGTTGACCAGGATGGTCTCGATCTCTTGACCTCGTGATCCACCCGCCTCGGCCTCCCAAAGTGCTGGGATTACAGGCTTGAGCCACCGCGCCCGGCCTATTTTATTTTTTTAAACAGAGTCTTGCTCTGTTGCCAGGCGCCAGGCTAGAGTACAGTGGCACAATCTCGGCTCACTGCAATCTCCACCTCCTGGGTTCAAGCAGTTCTCCTGCCTCAGCCTCCCGAGTAGCTGGGACTACAGGTGCACGCCACCATGCCCAGTTAATTTTTGTATTTTTTTTTTTTTTTTTAGTGGAGACAGGGTTTCACCATGTTGGCCAGGATGGTCTCGATCTCTACCCGCCTCAGCCTCCCAGAGTGCTGGGATTACAGGCATGAGACACCGCGCCCGGCTGTGGACATTTATTTAAATGACAAAGTTGACACCGCTTTTGTTTCTTTCCTAGATGGTTGGCTTGACCACGCTCTCCAATCTGAGGTGGGTCCGACAACACCGACAGGTCGTGCTCACCATCGTTTCAACGCGACTTCCTCACTCCGTATGCCAAGTGTGAGAAACTGTTCATCTCTCTCCATCATCTGTTTCAACTCTCCCTCTTATCTACCTTTCATCCATGTATCTATTTATCTATCTAACTTCCTACATGTCAATCAATCATCTCGATGAACCGCAAATTAAGGAGTGAAGTAGTCATCTCGTTAGTATGTGTGTCTTGGGCATGTCTTTAAAAAGACTCCATTTTAGCTTTCCCATTATAAAATGTGTCTTTTAAGCCAACTGTAGAAAGTAGGACTTAGTATAAAGGGAAGGAGCTTTGTGGCAGGAAATCTAAGGTAAGCCATCTTTTATGACTAGAAGTAAATCCCCGGGTACAGGAAAAAATCAGAGATATGAAAATAATAGGCGTGTGTATATGTAAGTATGAGATATTCATCTCACAGAGCCTGTCCAGTAGAGGGTGATTTAAAAATATTAGAGGAAGGAAAATGGTGTCCTGTCCCCGTTTTTTTTTTTTTTTTTTTTTTTTCAACAAATGGCCTAAACAGATACCTGCAATGATTTAGGTCCCTACAATGATTAAGCACATGTAACAGTGTAGTTTTACTTCTCATATAAAAGCAAATATTATTCTGTCTCTCCTAGTTCTAATTCTAGTTTCCCAAGTACAGCATGTCCTTCTTAACTGTGTTCATCACTTCTGCAATTACTGTGAATGTGGAAGTGCTATTTAAACAAATTTTAGAGCATTATACGAGTGTTAGCATGAACGTTAGCCACTCCTTTCCCTTCTTTTGGTTTTGAATCCCAGAAACTAAAAACAACATTGGACATCAGTGTGATGAAGTTGGCAGCATAATGCTGAATAAACTACAGCAACCCTTTGTTAATGCGTGTGTAGTAATAATGAGGTTCGGCCTTTGTTTTTTAAAATTTCAAAATCTACAGTCTTTTAACAGATGTTGGGCTTAGTTCAATATCCTTCACAGTGACAACTTTCCTTTCCTGCAGGTTATGTGTGCTATGATTGAGGATCTGCCTGTGTTCCACCCTTCAATGAATGGACAGAAATGTAGATCCAGAAAAAAATGTGCCTGTTAAGTTCCTCACTATTTTGGAAATTGCCAAGTGGTTACTGTGGTGGATTATAGTATAGTTTGCAATTCTTTGTCCTTTCTTCTTTAAAAGGATTATCCATCCCTGCCTTAGACCCCTTATGGGTAAGTGTATTTCCCTGACTCCCTGTCAGGCTTGGTCATGTGATTTTCATTAGCCAATGACATGTGAGTAGACAAGGTATATGCCACTTAGGAGCAGAAGCTTTAAATGTGGTGGTGTGGTTCCGCTTGGTCTCTTGCTCTTCTGCCCTCATCCAAGAGAAAAGAATTTCCCAGATAGGAGCTGCTCCTTCAGCTGCATCCTGGGATGAGAAAATAGCTGTGACAGAGCCACAGCAGACTCATGGTCTGCATGTCTCATGAGGAAGAAATAAATCGATGATGTAAGCCACTGAGGTTTTGGGCATTGTTTGTTATGCAGTGAAGCTGACTAATACAGTTACACAAGGTTTTGCTGAGATTTGCACAGATAAAACAAGGTAGGATGTGAGTGCAAGAAGATGTTATATTTCCAACTGGTAAGGGCTAGTTTATAAACAGAAAAGAACATGTAGCTTACATAACGTTTGTTGGAGAATATATCCTGGAAAAATCATGATATCACAGATATACACTAAAAATCTGAAGGCAATTAAGGAGAAACATTTTCAGTAGACGAGTTATTTAATAAAGAGAGAGCTTGTTTCAGAATTGGTATCTTCGTGAATATTTGGTTTATGCAGACATTTTTACATATATATGTGTGTAATTGCTCAAACATAGTATTATTTTTTTGTTCTCTAAACCCCATTTGTAATGAGTCCTTGATCTTGCCCACTAAGGTTCTGTTAATATTTTTCCAAAGTGTATGATTGGTTACAGATTATAGCTCTGCACGCCAGTAGGTTTCATGTTTATTAGAGTGTAAATATTAGAAGGAGAAAACTGAAGCACCATGATAAAACTTGAGCTTAGAATAGTATCTGGTATAGATTAGATGCTAACAAATACTTATTCACCAACTGAATAAATTATAGTACTGTAGAGTTTAGGTAAGATAAGAGGTAACCTTTATGCTGAGGTTTGTTTGCTGTTTATTTAATTATGAATTCTCTCCCTTCTCATTCTATAAAGACTCTGGGTCAACTCACTCTGGAGGATGTGCCTCATACAACTTATTTTCTTTTTCTTTGTTTATTTTTCTACACAGAAAGTGGGAATCGTAAGAGTAAGAAGCAAAGGTTTAAAATGTTTGGAGAACTTTAGCATTTTGTAACGGCATTCCCTTACCCCTTTCCCTGCTTGTTGAGTATTTGTGGCTTATTACTGTTGTTTCTGTGACCGATGCCAAGTCCACTCCAGCAGCTCCTGTTCTGCTCTCTACCTTAACGCTGTGCTGGCCATGGCTACGAGCGGAAGACCTCATTCAGAGTCTCGAAAGCTGTGTTGGAGGACAGTGAATGGAGAGAATGCAGTCTTGGAAATTTGGAAATAGGTGGGATCCAAAGAGAACTCCCAATATAAAATATGCTTATTGTTCATAAAATAGTTGGTGAATGCATGAACATGTACTCTTTGAGATGACAGAGATGCTTGTACGAAGAGCAGCTGAACACCTGGCAAGGATAGCAATACTTGTGTGTGTCCTAGCTGTGTGCCTGAGCCAGGGTTAAGTCTCCTAGGAAACCAGAGTATCACCACACTGTGCCAAACCCGATCTCATGATGGTGGCAAGAAATTTAGCTTCCTGCCCCACCTAAGTGAGGGTGGACCTAGTGTTAATAAATTTCATAAATATAACATTTTAAGTATTAAATAGATTTTAATTAGATACATTATGTATTTCTGAAATTAAATAATTAACAATAATAAACCTCCTCATTTACCTTCAAATATTGAGGTAGTGAGAGAAGAGTAATCATTTAGGTTTATGCCTTTCTGGGTATCAGTATTTAAGAGCGCTCAGGAATGGCTGAAGCTGTCTTTTCTCTGTCTGAGCCTCCTCCACTAATCTGTGTGCTCTGGAAAGGCAGAAGCTGTAATGCCTGGTTCACTGCTGAGTCCTCAGTTACTACCTGGGTTCCCATCTTGTTATAGGCACTAATACAGACTCGATGACTGCTCGATGAGCTGTACTGAGAAAGCCGAAAGCCAAGACAGGACCAGCCCATATCACTGCTTGGTAGGAGCCACTCCTAAGTCAGTGTTGCCCTGGGGAGTCTGAGAAAACACGTATGTGAATGAATTAGTGCATTTCTGGCTAAAGGACCTCACTGAAATATAAATTGGTTGCCGAAAAAGAGTACTTCAGGTGACTCACGCTTGTAATCTCAGCCCTTTGAGACGCCGAGGCGGACGGATCACTTGACGTCAGGAGTTCAAGACTAGCCTGGCCAACATGGCAAAACCCTGTCTCTACTAAAAATACAAAAATTAGCCTGGCATGCGCCTGTAGTTCCAGCTACTTGGGAGGCTGAGACAGAAGAATAGTTTGAGCTCAGGAAGTAGAGGTTGCGGTGAGTGGAGACCACACCACTTCACTCCAGCCTGGGTAACAGAGCAAGATGCTGTCTCAAAAACAAAACAAAACAGAAAAAAAAAACCACTTGATATTTAATGTTAAGCATGGACAGATATCTATAATATTAATAAGACCTTTCATTTGTTGAGCAATACTGTATTATGCTATGTTTTAAACATTGACATTAATTCATTTAATGCTCACAACCACTCTGTGGGTGCTGTGGCAGGCAGCCTATGCAATGGCCCCTGTTGATCCTCACCTCCTGGCATTCACTTCCTTTTGTAATCCCTTCTCCTCGAGTGTGGACTGGATTCATTTACTTGCCTTGAATGGGTAGAGTATGTCAAAGTAACAGGATGTCCCCCTTCAAGATCAGGATGTGAAAAGTCTATGGCTTCTGTCTTTGGTGCTCCAGTTGCCATGCTGTGAGCTGCCCCATAGAGAGGCCTGTGTGACAAAGCACTGAGGGAGACCCCCAGCCAACAGCCAGTGAGGAAGTGAAACTCTCAGTCCAACAGACTGCAAGGGATGGAATCCTGCTGACAACCACATGCATGGACTTGGGATAGGATCCCACCCTAGTCACACCTCAGATGGGACTGCAGCCTCAGACAGTAATTGGACTGCAACCTCATGAGATACGTTGAATGAGAAGCTCCGGACTGAGTCGTGCCTGGCTTCATAACCCACAGAAGTTGTAGCTAATACATGTTTATTGGTTCAAGCTGCTAAGTTTTGGGGTAATTTATCATACACCAATAGATAACTAACATAGGCAGGTACTGGTATTATTTGCATTTTTCAGAAGAGGAGACTGAGGTTTAGAGAGGATAAGAAATGATGGAGCCAGGATGTGGACCTTCAGATATGACTCCAGGGCTGCACAGTTAAGAACTAGAATCAGTTTTGGATAGTGTTAAGCACATTACGGTTGTTCAGTCCAGGTTGGTACTGTGCAGAAACTTCATGCTTCCAGACTTCAGGAGAGCTAGGATGAGCAGACAAAAGGATGGTTTCCTCCTAAGCCAGGTCAAGATTTTAAAAGAAACACAAGAAAAAAATTATAGATCATGCAGGCAACAATAGAGCATTAACATTCCATTTCTAACAAAGATGATCTTAGTATCAGTAAGAGTTCTCCAGAGAGACAAAACCAATAGGAGATAGATGGATGGAAAGATAGGTAGATTAGATAGATAGGTAGGTAGGTAGGTAGGTAGGTAGGTAGATAGATAGATAGATAGATAGATAGATAGATAGATAGATAGACAGACAGGTAGATAGATAGATAGATAGATAGATAGATAGATAGATAGATAGATGATAGATAGATAGATAGATAGATAGATAGATAGATAGATAGACAGGCAGGTAGATAGACGAGGGAGGATTATCAGGGGAATTGGCTCGTGTGATTAAGGAGGCAGAGAAGTCCCACAACAGGCCGTCTGCCACTACATGCCCATAGTGTGGCTCAGTTAAAGTCCAAAAGACTCAGAACCAAAGAAGCCAGTGGTGCAACTCTCAGTCTGAGGCCAAAGGCATGAGAACCAAGCATGTTCTGGAGTCTAAAGGCTGAAGAGCCTGAAGCTCTGCTATCCAAGGGCAACAGAAGCAGGGTGTCCCAGGTCCAGGAGAGAGAAAGAAAGAATTTTCCTTTCCTCTGCTTTGTTGTTCTGTGTGAGCCCCAGCTGACTGGATGGTGCCTGCCTACACTGAGGGTAGATCTTGCCCACTCGGTCCACTGACTCACGTGCCAGTCTCCTCTGGAAACACCCTCACAGACACACCCAGAGTTGAGGCTTTACCAGCTCTCTAGGTATTCCTTAATCCAGTTAAGACCTCAAATTAACTATCACAGCTTCCCTGCCTTCCAGTCCACCACTCAAAAATAACCACTCTCAGCACTTCCTTCTGTTCTCTAGTCCCTCAAAATTAGGCGAAGCACAGCAAATGTGGATGTACATTTGCATCTATAAAAATATTGTGTATGTGTGTGTGTGTGTGTGTACACATATACATATACAGTTGACTCTAGAACATCATGAGGGTTAGGTGCACCGATCCCCAACACAGCTGAAAAAAATCTGCACGTTAACTCTTGACTCCCCTAAAACAAAATACCAAAAGCCTATTGTTGATCAGAAGCCTTACCAGTAACACAGTCAAGCAACACCTATTTTGTATATGTATTAGATACTGTATTCTTAGAAAAAAGTAAGCTAGAGAAAAGAAAATGTTATTAAGAAAATCAGGCCGGGCGCGGTGGCTCACGCCTGTAATCCCAGCACTTTGGGAGGCCGAGGCGGGTGGATCACGAGGTCAAGAGATCGAGACCATCCTGGTCAACATGGTGAAACCCAGTCAATACTAAAAATACAAAAAATTAGCTGGGCATGGTGGCGCGTGCCTGTAATCCCAGCTACTCAGGAGGCTGAGGCAGGAGAATTGCCTGAACCCAGGAGGCGGAGGTTGCGGTGATCCGAGATCGCGCCATTGCACTCCAGCCTGGGTAACAAGAGCAAAACTCCGTCTCAAAAAGAAAATCATAAGGAAGAGAAAATATACTTACTATGTGTCATGTGGAAGGGGATCATCCTAAAGGTCCTCATCCTCATTGTCTTCATGTGGAGTAGGCTGAGGAGGCGGGAGGAAGGGGAGGGATTGGTCTGGCTGTCTCAGAGGTGGCAGAGGCAGAGGAGAATCTGTGTATAGGGGACCTGCACAGTTCCAGCTCATGTTGTTCAAGGGTCAGTTGAACACACAAAAGCACACACACACACACACACACACACACACGTGTGCATAAAAATTGGGGATCATGGTTGTTTCTATTATTTATTGCTACGTAACAAATCACCCCCAAACATAGTGGTCTAAAACAGCAGCAAGTGTTTGTCCCACTTCTGGTTTCCGTGGGTCGGGAATGTGGAAAGAGCTCAGCAGGTTGGCCTGGTATTGCTTGTGCAGAGGCAGGCAGAGGCTGAAGCCTGGAGCACCTGAGCATGTCTCTCTCCCCATCTTCTTTCCACTTGTGTTAGTTTGGGCTTCCTCACAGCATGGTGATCTCAGGCGGCCCACTTAGCCACTAAAGGCTTAAGAACAAGTATCCTAGCAACGAGGCAGAAGATGCATCGCTTTTTACAGCCTAGACTCAGTATCACGTATTATCATTTCTCTCCTCCCCTGCTGGTCAAAACAACCACAAAAGGGTTGTTTTTTGTGAAGGGGATGTCATCTCCCAATGGAAGAAATGTCAAAGAATTCGCAGACAAAGTTTTACATTTCCATGGTGCTGTACTCACACCACTCTCCTGTGGAGCAGATGCACACAACCAAGAAAGTCTCTCAAACAATTCCAGGATGTAAAAAAAATAGAGCTTATGTTCCTTTGTTTTAATTCACCCCCTTCACTCTATTTTTGTAGCTGATCATATACCTGTATATATTCTATAAATAAATACATTGGAGGATGTGCCCAAATGTATTTTGTACACTTTAAAAACTTTATCAGATATTGCTGAATATGTTGCCCTTAGCCTTACTTCTTTATTTTCTACATATTAAAATTAAAGATCCTCTATATGCAAGCTCTACCAATCAACTTTTCACCTTTTTAAAAACTACTTCATAAAGTTCTATTGTCTAACCAGTCTCAGCTGATGGACATTTCAGGTAAATTCCAGTTGTTTCTGCTATTGTAAGCAATGCTGGAGTCCATCCGTGTCCTGTATGTTTTGGCATAATTTAGTCAAGGTAGTAGTAGTCTAAATTCGTGCAGTGGATCAAAGGGAGCACACACTGAAAATTATCATTGTTATTTTTAAATTGCTTTCAGATGAGTCTATTAATATTGGCAACATGACCATCACTCAACAGTCCCCATAACAATATTTGTGAGTTCCTTTCTCCACATATCTTCACTGGCACTAATTATTTTAAAAACTATAATCTTTGCCAATTAGGTGAACAATGATATCCTGTTATGATTTGGATATGTATTATTAATTTCAAGTGAATTCGCTTCTCAGACATTTGTGTGATTTTTCGTATAAGCTGCCCATTCATATTCTTTGCCCAATATTTAATTTACTGATTCGTGCCAGCTTTTCTGTATTGGTTTGTACCACCTTTTTATAATCTAAGAAAATTAAGCTTCTTTTTCTCATATATGTTGCAAGTATTTGCCCTGGTTGTCACATTTTTATAAGTAATTTTGTCATACAAAAAGTATGCATACTTTTATGGTATAAATTTATAATTTTTTAAATCTATGGCTTCTATATTAGAAAGGACTTCTCTATACAGAGATACAGAGATTATCAACAAACACACCCCGGCTTTTTTTTTTCTTTTTTTTTTTTTTTGAGATAGAGTCTTGCTCTGTCACCAGACTGGAGTGCAGTGGTGAGATCTCAGCTCACTGCAACTTCTGCCTCCCAGGTTCAAGCAATTCTCCTGCCTCCGTCTCCCGAGTAGCTGGGACTACAGGCACATGCCACCGTGCCTGGCTAATTTTTGTATTTTTTGTAGAGATGGGGTTTCACCATGTTGGCGAGGATGGTCTCGATCTTCTGACCTTGTGATTTGCCTGCCTCATGTTCCCAAAGTGCTGTGATTATAGGTGTGAGCCGCCACGCCTGGCCCACACACCCATGAGTGTTTAAATCTTACAGTTTCAAATTTTACCTTTAAGTTTTTTATCCAAATGGAATTTATTGGTGGTAAGAGTAAGGTAAGAACGAGCTTAATTGATTTTTTCAAGTGGCTAGCCGCTGGTTCTAACAACATTTGTTGAATAGCCCTTCTTTTCACCTCTTACAACCAACACTTATTACTTTCACCTGATCCACACTCATCATGTATCTAATACTTACTACTTTGGGTAGGTGTTGACAATTACCTAGAATTAGGGCAGAAGCTACTGTTGCTATAAAGAGAAGGCCCTTTATATAACTTCCTACTACAAGCATATACCTGCCCTTAGAGACTAAGCTGATCTGTCCACCCACCCCCAGCCTCTCTGAGATCATTTTTCCTTATGCATATTTGGCAATTCTTACCCACTTGATTTTTTTTTTTTTTTTTTGAGACAGAGTCTTGCTCTGTGGGCCAGGCTAGGGTACAATGGCACAATTTGGGCTCACTGCAACCTCCGCCTCCCGAGTTCAAGCATTCTCCTGCCTCAGCCTCCCAAGTTGCTGGGATTACAGGTGCCCGCCACCATGCCCAGCGAATTTTTTATATTTTTAGTAGAGACAGGATTTCATCATATTTGCCAGTCTCATCTCGAACGCCTGACCTTAGGTGATCCACCCGCCTCAGCCTCCCAAAGTGCTGTGATTATAGGCATGAGCCACCATGCCCGGCCACCACTTGATCATTTTTTGGATGCTCTAGGCACAACCACTCTGTAAGTCACTTTCACAAAGTGCTCAAGATTATTCATGTTCATCTCAATAGATGCAGAAAAAGCATTTGACAATGTTCAGCATTCTTTCTTGATTAACAAGTCTCAACACTTTAGTTACAGAAGGAAACTTCTTCAACATAATAAAGGCTATTTATGAAAATCCCAGAGATAGCATCATAAGCTGTGGGAAAAATTGAAAGCTTTTCCTCTAAGATCCAGTACAAGGCAAGGATGCCCATTCTTGTCACTTCTATTCAATGTAGTATTGAAAGTACTAGCCAGAGCAGTCGGACAAGAAAAAAATATAAAAGGCATCCAAATAAGAAAAGAAGTAAAATTTTCCCTGTTTACTGCTGAGATGATCCTATATGTAGAAAACTCTAACAACTTCAAGTACACACACACACACACACACACAAACACACACACACCTGTTTAAGCTAATAAACAAATTCAGTAAAGTTGGAGGATACAAAATCAGCATACAAAAATCAGTATCTTTCTTCACAACAATAATGACTTATCCAAAAAATAAAAAATAAAGAAAACAATTTCACTAATAACATTAAAAAGAATAAAATAATTAGGAATAAATTTAACCAAATAGCTGAAAGATCTGTACACTGAAAATTATAAAACATTGATAAAAAAAATTTAAGATGACACAAATAATGGAAAGAGATTCCATATTCATGGATTGAAATAATTAATATTGTTAAAATGTTCATACTACACAAAGGAGTATGAAGATTCAAAGCCATCCTTGTCAGTATTCCAATGGCATTTTTTACAGAACTAGAGAAATCAATTCTAAAATCTGGATGGAATCACAGAAGACCCCAATAGCCAAAGTTATTAAGAAAGAAAAACAAAGCTGAAGACATCATACTTGGTGATTTTTAAATTTTAGTACAAACCTATAGTATTTGAAATAGTATGTTATTGGCATAAAAACAGACACATAAACCAACAGAACAGAATAGACAGCCCAGAAATAAACCTAAGCATATACAATCAACTAATTTTTGAAAACAGTACCAAGAAGACACAATGGACAAATCATAGTCTCTTCAGTAAATTGTGTTGGGGAAGCAGGATAGCCACATGAAAATTAGATCCTATGTCACAACACACACACAAATCAACTCAAAGTAGATTAAAGATCTAAATTAAGACCTGAAAATGTAAACCTTATAGAAGAAAACAGGGGAAAGCTCTTTGACATTGGCCTTGGCAATGATTTTTTTAATATTACATCAAAAACTCAGGCCAACAAAAGCAAAAATAAACAAGTGGGACTTTATAATTTCCGTGTTAGCACAACTTATTGAGGGATCGGGGATTATAAATGTCAGTCAAAGGAAAGGATACAGTCATGGGTCTAACTCAGACCACAGACAAGTACAGCTTAAACATTTTCCTTAGTCAGTATACTTTTACACACACACACACACACACACACACACACAGAGGAATATTATAGAGCCTTTAAAAAAGAGATACTGCCATTTTTGACAATATGGATGAACCTGGAAGACATTATGTTAAGTGAAATAAGCCAGCCACAGAAAGAAAAATAATGTGACTCATACGTGAAATCTAAAAGAGAAGTTAAATACATAGAAAAGAGACAGTAAAATGGCTGTTACTGGGGATGGGAAAGGGAGAAATGGGGAGAGGTCGAGGGGTACAAATGTAGGATACATAAATCTGAAGGTATAGTATACAGCATAGTTAACAATATTACACTATATACTGGAAATTTGTGAAGACAGTAGATGTTAGGTGCTCTTACCATACACATGCACAAAAAATAACTATGCAAGATGATGAATATGTTAATTTGCTTGACTGTAGTAACTATTTCACTCTGCATATGTATGTCAAAACATCATGTTGTATGCCTTAAATATAGACAATTTTGTTAAAAAGGGAAAAACTACCAATGAATAAAATGGAATTTCTAAAACACCATTTGTCTTTGTGGAGTTGAATCGCTGTAGGGTTGATATTGACATGACCCTTCTCTTTGTGAAGGCACATGGCACCTTGCACTGTGTGTGAGTCCTTTTGGTTTGGTGGGGTGAGTACCTCCACCCTCTATTTATGTGATAAAAGCTAGGATTATGCTGACGTTCTCTTTACCTCACAGTTGTTGTGTTTTTGGTTGTTTTTTTTTTTTTTTCCTGATTAATCTAGGCTGCTTGGAAAAAGTTATGTTGGTGCCGGGATTCAACCGTTGCCTGGACAGAGGTGGCCACTAGAGTCATTAGCATGAACATCGGCACCAGTGACTACATAGGTCCCAGGATTGTAGCCAGCTGCCTCCAGAGATCACTTGAGAGGTGCAGAGACTGTGGGCCAGCCCCTCATTCTTGTCTGAGACAGCGACGCCCTCCCCACTCAGGAATTATGCACAGTTAGCAGAGGTGGGAGCTGGGTTCTCCCACACCCTGCAGCAGATCAGAACTCCCAGGGTGGGGACAGGAGGGTAGAGTTGCTGTGCCAGCTAAGCACCCACTCCACCTGTGTGCCGAGGAGGGCTGCTGAGATCCTCCAGTGCTCTGGGCTGGGCCAGGACCCAGATTCCCACCTGAGGTTGGAGAGGCCTCAGAGCTCAGCCCCTGGCCAGCGGAGTCCTGGGAAAGCCAGCAGGGCTTGCAGATATAATCTCAGCAGTGGGACTGTGCAGGTGGCCCCAAGGCCCCTGGCTCCACAGATGAGAATCAGAAGCACAGCCACCTCAATTTGAAAACAATTTGAGTTGTCACACTATTTAAAGGAGTCTGCAGGCTCAAGACCTGACTAGATTTAGAACCCTAAGGTTCACAGGAATCAGACGATTGAGAATGAGAATTCCACATAAATAAAAATATGAAATGTGCAACTGAGAAGCTGCCATGATTTTTTCTTTCTAGGCTGTGGATAATTTCCATCGTCAGATACATTATTTCTGACTGGGGGAGTGGGGAGTCTGAATAGGGCCACTGACTTTTTTGTTCATTTAAAATCACTGTAATTTGCTGAAGAAGGTTGAATAACTCCTATATTTTTTTTTAAGGCAGCTCTGAAATGAATGGCTTCATTTAATGAAATCACAAAAGAAGGAACACCAGCAAGACCACCCAGGCCCCAGCTCCAGTTTTTCCTGAAGAATCTGGCCGCATCTCCCTTTTTGAAGGCAGAGTTTCATCTTGTAATTAGAAGATTCCTTTGTTTCTTTAATGATCCTAAAGCACTGGTGTCATCTGAGGGAAATTACCTTTTTTTTTTTTTTCTTTTGAGGTAGAGTCTCTCTCTGTCGCCAGGCTAGAGTGCTGGAGTGCAGTGGCGTGATCTAGGCTCACTGCAACCTCGGCCTCCCGGGTTCAAGCAATTCTCCTGCCTCAGTCTCCCAAGAAGCCAGAACCCCCACCATGCCCAGCTAATTTTTCTATTTTTAGTAGAGACCAGCTTTCACCATGTTGGCCAGAATGGTCTCCGTCTCTTGACCTCATGATCTGCCTGCCTTGGTCTCCCAAAGTGCTGGGATTACAGGTATGAGCCACCGCACCCAGCCGAAAATGACCTTTTAGGCGACAAGAGCAGCCATCACTGGGGCTTTCAGTGTAAGAGGCCCACACTGAAGTCACAGGCTATGACGCTTTCCTGGAAGAGGCAGGCAAGGCCTCCTGGGCAGGTAACAGGTGTGGAAGGGGGCATCCAGGCACATGTCCTGCTGTGGTTCACAAAAGGTGCCACCACCACTGTCTGTAGGAGGCCGACAAAAACTATTTTGATCTTGGAAGGTTTACGTGTCCTCTTCACTTAAAAGTTTAAGTGCTCCTCCCCAGGCGGCATGAGCATCTGAGGCCCGCGCCTGTGGCAAGACGCAGACATGAGCCACCAGGTCCCTAAGGTACTATGTTGAATTTCTCAATCTGACTTTGTTTAGTTTGGGGAAAACATTTTTTTGGTCCTGAAAGAAAAATCACTGTGGTTTCTCTCCTACTCCCACCCTCTGTAATCGCCACTTGCAAGAGTTGCACCATTTTCCCAGAAAACCAAAAAAATGAGGATGCTGGGCAGACATTCTTTGCGTCTTTTCTTCCATCTCCCTCTGCTCCAGGCAGTCTTGTCTGCCCCCCGTCCTTATACCTCCTTCCTTCATGCTGGGTTCACCTCTTTCTCCTTAGCAGATTTTCTCAATTCTCCCCTTGGTAAATAACCCTTCAGTAGACTTAGAGGTAGCCCAGGTCCTTCTGCCCGTCCAGTGCCAGGACAACCTCTGCCCCATCACAGGCTCAGGCTGAGCCAGCCGCCGGGAGTCATCTCTGCAGCACCCTGTAGTCATCCTGCTTGATGTTTCCCTTCTCCCATGGGCACTTGTAGCTCAAGTCACTCATCAACCACCAGTCCCTGAGCTCCCACTACGGATCAATTGCATTGTGCAACATTATTTTGCACCTGCCTTTGGAAGCCTTCTAACGTCATTTCACATGCATAGGCATGCAGGCTTCTCTCCTCTACCGTGTGTTGTCAACTGACCTATTCCTGTCCTTTCTGCTCCCTTTACCAGGGTGGTGTCAGGAGTGAGTAGCACATGAGTCAAAGCTCCCGGATTCTCTTAAACAGTTCTGCTACTGACTCACTATGTAAGTGTGGACAAGTCACTTCCCTTCCTCAGCCCTAACTTCTCCAGCCATAATACGCTCTCTGTATGTCTGGAAAGAACACAGCTAGAACAAATGGGCTGTCCTCTATGCATAGGTTAACTCCATAATTTATTGTCCAACTTTCACTTTTGAGAACAACAGGGGGTGTTTTCATGATTATAACAGGACAGCCTAAACCCAGGCTGTGTGGTGCATGCCCGTTTCTGGGATCTCAGGTAAAAGTGGGGATAGGAGCAGGCATTCCTCAGCTTATCACCTGCCGGTTCACAGAGGTGGAGTATCAGCAGCTTGCTGCAGTCTGAGCTATTGGGTTTGCTCTAGAGAAGGAGGCAAGAATTTCAGACTATCTTTCATACATTTCTGACCCATGTGCAAAAACAATCAGACGTAACTCTCCAACACCCAAAGGGTGATCTGACAAATGGTGGGTACAGATGAGCAAAACTGTTAAGAGTGACAAAGAAGGCTCTTATCTGTGCATTGCAAGTCCCAGCCTCAAACATTATGCTATGCTGTGCCCCCCTGAAATTTAAACCACCCTGACACCAAGCACTTGACTATTTCAGGTGTCTAAAACAACACCCGGCCAAGTCAATTAAGTTGAGCCCTGAGGAAGGGGTAGAGGACCCCAGCACGGCTCTAAGGGGTCTTAGCAACTTCTGAGAATTCAGAAGTGGAAGTGTTTGCATGTAAGAGCTACATCTGGGCCTGCAGTTCTCAGAGCCCTGGACTTAATTCCTTCTGGGGAGGAATATCCAGGCAAGAACAGAGAACCAGGATGCAGCATGCAACCACAATTAGGAATCAGCAGAAACAGAACCACCCATGCTTGGCTCAGAAACCAGATACCAGGCGCTAGGCAGGAATTCGCCCTTGGTGAGCTGTTGCTTAATTCTCTAGTTCCTCAGGCTCCTGGACTCCTTGACAAAGGCCAAGCCAAACAGGGATCCCAGGTGAGGCCAGGCTGGCCAGCCAGTGCCAGCTCATTCAGGGTTAGACTAGGGCTGGGAGGATCCCAGGCAAACCTTCAGGATGTCAGGCACTCAACAGAATTGCAGAGGTAGGCAAGTTTCTGCACCTCCAATATCCCAGTGGAAAGGTGCTAATTTCCCAAAGGCCTTTCATCCAAAGGCCCAAGTAATCTGGCCTGGGTCTAGCTAGAACCACTGGGATCTGGGATGAAACGGCAATTGCAGGTCTTGCTGGGAGTGTAGAGAGGTTTGGCTACAAGTGGGTCCCCGTTGACAGGGTCACAAGGATCAGCCAGTTCCTAGGTGCAGAGTTGGGATCCGAGGGCTTTGTCCCTAAGCAGCCCCACTGACACTTGCAAGGACTTGTTTTACTATAAAAGGGAGGAGGAAGGGAAAGGGTTTGTTCCATCATCAAAGGTGGAGGGCGGGCCGGGTGCGGTGGCTCAAGCCTGTAATCCCAGCACTTTGGGAGGCCGAGGCGGGTGGATCACGAGGTCGAGAGATCGAGACCATCCTGGTCAACACGGTGAAACCCCGTCTCTACTAAAAATACAAAAAATTAGCTGGGCGTGGTGGCACATGCCTGTAATCCCAGCTACTCAGGAGGCTGAGGCAGGAGACTTGCTTGAACCCAGGAGGCGGAGGTTGCGGTGAGCTGAGATCGCGCCATTGCACTCCAGCCTGGGTAACAAGAGCGAAACTCCATCTCAAGGAAAAAAAAAAAATGTGGAGGGCGGGAAGAAGAAGAACAGGAGATGGTTGTCCGAGTGTATTTATTTTCTTCTAAAATGTAAACTGAACTGGAAGTGCCTACAGAAACACACAGGCACTTTGATCATCAGCCCATTGGGTGGGCAATATGTCTAATCTCTGCTCTGCCCTGCACACTGCGGGCACTTGACAGATGTTTAGCAACATCTCCACCATGGTGGTGGCCACATTTATTGGCTTTGTGACATTCATCAGGGCTTCCTTCTTATTAAAAATGCAAGGGCTGCAGCTATTTGGAAGGACACCAGGTATATTCACTCTAGGTAGAAAACATTTCTTCTTTCTCCAGGAACCCAAGTGGAACACCCCAGATCTTGGGGAATACAGAGAAGCAGTGGGCAGAGAGTCTGTGGTGGTGGAGGTGGGACACAGAGCCGAGCTGTCCCCAAGTTAGATGTCTCAGATGAAGGAAGTCCTCCAGAGTGCATTTCCTCCTGGAGATTCTGCCATTATTGACTGTGATGGTGAAGAATTGACCATATGTTTTACATTTATGTACTCCCATAGATTCTCCAATTCAGGGAGATAAGATTATGGAGTTGGCCCATTTCGTCCCTTTGATTTCTTGTCATTCAGCCCCAAATGCAGAAGCTTGGTGGACAAGCTGCTCGCAGGGAATGACAAACAGTGTGACCGTTACAAGAGCATAAAAGATGGTGGTGGGTAAGAGAGGCCAGAGAGGGAGGAAAGAACCGGTCCTGAGGAGGCTCCTCCTCACTCTGTCCAGTTTTTAAAACTCGAGTTTTTTTCTTAGTTCTTTGTTCTTTCCCTTGGCATTGAGGCTGTCCCAGTAGACACAGAGAGGCTGGGGCAGGGCTGGAGCACTGCGGATCCTCTGATGTATGAGAATGAGTCATCCGCTCAGGCCTCTTTCTAGATAAGCAGAGGTAAAGGCCCAGCTTGGTAGCAGCTCGAGTGTGAGAATCCCTGGCACTGATCTGGGTACAGTGGGCCGACTGCAGGCCCAGAGGCGCTCGTCTCAACCCCAGTGGTCTACTGAGCTGTGCATGGGCCAACTCCCTAATCTTACCTCCCTGCATTGAAGTGGAGAATCTATGGGAGTAAATAATCGGAAAATAACACAGCGAATTCTTGACCATCACAGTCAAGAACGGCAGAATGACTCCAGTACCTTCACTCCGAAGTCCCAGCCACGCCCCCTCTGTGTGTTACAGGCATGAAAGGGGCAGGAGAGGGCTCTCCCCACCACCCGCTAGAAATGCTGGGTGATGGTTTGGCCCTCATCGCATCCCTTCTCTAAAAATGACAAGTCCACGAGGCAGGAAGAGACCATTTCCTGACGGTCCGCACCTGTCAACATCCAAATGGTAATTGAATGCAGGCCCCAGGGAGAAGCCACTTCCTGGGCATGAGTGTTAAAGAGACAAAAATGGTGACGTATGGTCACCACTCCACCAGAAACGGAAGAAAGCCTTAGACGGCCCTGCGTGAACCTGCCCCTAAACACACTGCGCATGCTCCATTCCAAAGGGTAAGGCGGGCGCTGCGCATGCGCGAAACCCACCCTGCGCATGCGCGGAACCCACCCTGCGCGGGAAGACTCCTGGGAAAGAGGCGAGCCTGTACAGTCCCAGGATCAAGGTTAAAGACCCTCTTTTTCTAACTGTCTTCTTTAACTCTCTTTTCTCTCTTGGACCTTCAGGCACCTGCTTGGGTCTCTTTCAAGCGAATTTTCCTTTCTTTCCTGTTCTAAAGCCTTTTAACTAAACTTCCACTCCTGCTCTGAAACTTGCCCCTCTCCTTTTCTGCCTCATGCCCCTCCGTCGAATTCTTTCTTCTGAGGAGGTAGGGACTGAAGCGGAGCCATAGGGATTCTCCGCTGATAACTCGGGGTAACTCGGGTCTCTTCCACTGCTGACATATGTAGCAAGTCCTGTCTTGGGCTGGCAGGCACCATGGCCGACACCACATGTGCAGAGAGAGGGGGAAGACCAGGCAGTGACTCATGACATCACCCTCGTCTCTGGAAGGCAAGATGTAGGTCTCGTCAGGTGCCCTGCAGCGCTGGCCACAGCCAGAACCCCTGCAATACAAACCAGGATGAGGGAAAGCCGCCAGAATACGCCTATCGCGTTTTTTATTAGTAAATCCAGAGAACGTGTTATATAGAGTGTGAGACAATCACCATTGGATGCATTTATTCATTCACTCATTCAGTAAGGAATTTTCCATTTCTTTATAAATGAGTAAAAGGTACAGGCTGGGTGGCCTTGGGCAGTATCCGATTAATGAAAGACAGATTTGAAGAAAAATGTGTAAGGTCTCAAATACCAGGCTACTTAACTGCCTTAGTCAGTATTCAGAGGGGAGTCATTGGAAATTTATAATGAGAAGGAAAACAAACACGATTTTCTGGTTCCTAATACTTTCCCATGGACAGTAACAAACAGTTTGCCTAGAGATTCAGCAAACCATGGTGTCTGTAAGATGCATGGATTGTTTTGAGCACCAGGACGTTGGCTGCAAGACGTGGGGCCCTTGGTCCACCGGCGCCTGTCCTGGTCCCTAGGCAAGCTGTGGCAGGGCCTCTCTGGCGGCCCACCCAGTGGCCTGTGACAGGCGATCAGGAAGCAGAGGCAGAACAGTTGGGGCAGAACTAGGATGACTGAACCTCTCCTGCTTCGGTTCAGGGGCCCTCAAGGTGCGGCCTGTGTGAGACATGGATCCATAGCCTGGTAACCAAAACTGGCACACCCAGCACAGTCACCTCCATGGCAGCACGTGACCTACATCAGCCAGTCAGCGGCTCTGACTGAGGAGCTCCTAGGTCCAAGTGCATGTACTTCATGACCGGGAGGGGGCTTACCTACATCGAATTAGCAACGTGAGACATGCACACATGAGAAGTTCCAGAAGCAGCAAAGGATCACGGATGGTTTCAGAAGCTGAGTAGGGTGGAAGGAAGGACTTTGAGAGGAGGTGGCGCCGGAGCTGGGAGTTGAGGGAGAACTAGAGTGAATTAGGAAACCCAAAGATGAGAGGGTGTCTTGGGCACGGGGAGGAAAAAAAGGAGTGGGAGAACATGTGTGAGGCATGCTCCGGAGAAGTGAGCACTCAGTATGGCGGGGCCCATTTTTGGAGGGAGGTGGTGTTCATTTGCCATTAAGGTGGCAAAGCTAGGTTTAAACCAGCCGTCCGATGTTTCTGAAAGTCAGGCCGAGGGTTTGGATGGTCTTCAGAGAAGAACCATGGAAAGGTTTTGACCAAGAGGGCCAGGTTCAGTGAGATGGTGTTGATAACAGAATTCAGCCTGTGCCAGGGTATTGTATTAGGGACTGGGGTTTCAACCGTGTTACACGGTCTCTGCCTTTTGAGAGTTTCTAACTGGGGGGATGTGACACATAAGAACAGATATTTTTGGTTTAATGTGGTAAGGGCTGTGGTAAAAATATTCAGAATTTGTTGTTGCAGCTTAGGAGAAGGCCAGGACACCTGGCTGTGTGGAGCACAGGGAGGGAAGGAGAGGGAGGCAAGTGTGGACGTCAGTGTATACAATGGGAGGGTTTGTACCTTCTCCTCAGGGCAAGAGGCAGGGAAAAGATGTGGACCAGACTTGGACTCCAGCCTAGGGAGGGGCAGGGAGGATGCAGGAGCGATTCGGGAGGTGGATGACCCAGGCGAGGGTGGGAGAGAATGAGAAGTGGCCATTCATTGAGGTAGATGAGTCCAGCAGCCCTCTGACGAATGGACAGGATGGACGGGCAGGAAGGTGCTAGAGGGTGAAGACACCATCAGGAAGTGAAGGAACCTGGTGCAAGGTGAGAAAAGCTGGAATGGAGGAGGAACAAGACAAACAGGCTCTTGAATGGTCCAGCTGCCTTGCTGAGAGCAGGCTGTGAAAGGGGTGATCTTGGTGCAGTGAGATTTCCGTTTTAAATAAGTCTGCTCTTTCTGTGATATCAAAAGAAGAAGAAAATTCCTCAAAAGCTCCCAAAGACCACCACTGCTAGCAATTGGGAAGGATTTCCTTCAGATCATTTCTCCTGCGTCTGTTTGTGTTTGGTTTTAACATGTTCTAATCACACTGCGTATCCTGCTGCCTTTAACATTTTAGAGTGTATATTTCTCTGCATGTTAAATTTATCCTGGCTGGGACAGATGTTCATGTTTTCATGTTGATTTACATGAAGAGGCTCACTTTGCCACCTTTTGTTTCTTGCTTCACAGTAAACTTTGAAAATGTTGCTTCCCTCCATTCCTTGCCTTTCATCCTCACCTCCCTCACTCTTGCCCCGACCTTCTTTCTCTTCTTCCTTCGTATACTTCCTAGTTCTCCCCTTAACTACCGCCCTTCATTTCCAGAGTTACGGATAGACATTTTCTTTTACATCAGCAAGTTTCTTTGTAAGACATACACCAGAGAATATTTCTAAGGCCTAAACTCTTAGAGGTTTCAAGGTACCCATTGGGCAAAGGAAGGATTTTTGGTGATGGCGGCTTCACTCCAAGGGGTGGGAAACTGGCCACTGATGATTCCAAGCCAGGGATACTTGTCAAGATGAAGAGGAGAGGAAGGTGAGACTGGGCCCAGGCAGAAAAAGGTGTTTCCCTGATTTTGCAAGGCCATAGAGGCTCAGAAAGAGGGGACTATACCACATTCCATTTAGAGAGGGGGGAAAATGTATGGTGTATCAACTAAGCCACAGGCCCACACCTGGGAGGAGTTCCCAGCCCTGATCTATAACACCCATCGGTCCATGGCCTGTTAGGAACCAAGCCACACAGCAGGTGAGCGGCGGGCGAGCAAGTGAAGCTCCATCTGTATTTACAGCCACTCCCCATCACTCCCATTACTGCCTGAGCTCTGCCTCCCTTCAGAACTGCCGCAGCATTAGATTCTCATAGGAGCTCGGACCCTATTGTGAACTGCACATGCGAGGGATCTAGGTTGCTCCTTATGAGAATCTAATGTCTGACAGTCTGTCACTGTCTCCCATCACCCCCAGATGGGACCATCTAGTTGCAGAAAAACAAGGTGAGGCATCCTACTGGTTCTATACTATGGTGAGTTGTATAATTATTTCCTTTATTACAATGTAATAATAATAGAAATAAAGTACACAATAAATGTAATGCACTTGAATCATCCTGAAACCATTCCACCCCCATCCGTGGAAAAATTGTCTTCCACGAAACCAGCCCCTGGTGCCAAAAAGGTGGGGACTGCTGTGATAGAGTGTTTCCAGTGAGGCTTCATAAGAACCAGTTTGTTCTTCCTTTGCTTCCTACCTGTAGGTACACACAGCCTATCTCTCTCTCCCCTGCAACTGTATGTCTCTCTGTCTGTCTCTCTCTCACACTCACTTTATCTCTGTGTCTTTCTCTCTCTCTCTGTTTCTCTCTCTCTGTTTCTCTTTCTCTCTCCTTTAACCCAGTGAAATTTCCAAAGGAGCCTTTGTTCAGTACTCATGATAACAAGTTTCCTTTGTCCCATATGCCCGCCACTGTCCCCAGCCCTTACGTGTGTATTTCTCACAACACCTCCAGGAGGAAGGTGCCATTATGCACAGAAAGAATGCCTCACTTGTCCACAGTCACACAACCTGTCAGTGTCAGAGACTGGATTTGAACTCAGGTCACCTGCCCCCAAAGTCCATTCTTTTAACCACTCTGCCATATTATGATATCGCTATGTTATATTCTTTCGACGTCATAATTTTCAAAGAGAAGATAGAATCCCAGTGGGATTTTATTGCAGAGACAAACATGTTCAAAGTTCTTTTGATCTGAATGCAGATGATGTATCAAAGACTCACAATTTCTTGCAGTTCAGTCTTTGGGTGACTTTTTTACCAGCCGCGCAAGGAGTAACCCAGGAAAATATTTTGCCTTTTCCTAAGATGTCTGGAGAAAAACTAGGCCTTTGCCTTAACAGTGCAGCCTGGCCTTAGCGATGTCGAGGCTTTGTGTTCATCTAACCTCCGTGACCGAGGGCCTCAGAGTGCGGACAATGTGTTCCACTGGCCTGATCTAATGAGAACATCGTTGCCTGTGCCCAGTGTGTTGGGGAAGTCCACACCCTCATACCCCAGTGCCCCATCCCGATCTGTGTATTGACTAGCAGAGTAAGGAATCTATAGTGTACAGAACTCTATCTGGAAGAAGAAATCACCAGTGTTGATTTCTAAAGCTTCCTTTTTGCTGCTTGCTTCTGTGAGGCTCTCGAAAGACTTTCCCTCTGCAGCAGCCAGGACTGGAGTCTACTCACCCCCACTAGCCACATGCTTCCTGCCCCAAATGTCAAGGTTTTCATTTGACCATGGTATAATGAGCTGTATAAAATTAAAAACAGCTAACTACCACCTTATTTACAGTAATTTTCTATTTTCTGTACTCATCACTGAAACCTCTCCTTAACAACGCCAACCTCCAGATCATACCAATCACCAGTGAGAAGCCCAATCACTACAACCACTAACCACAACATAAATCAATGTGAAGACCTGAGAGCCCGCTCGCTCCCACTCTGTCCCTAGCCCAGCCTGGTTTTTCCATCACATGCTTCTTAGGCAGCAGGGGCTGAGGCAGGGGGAACATTTAGTTCCCTTTTCAAAGACTGGGGACACTTAAAAATATCTCCAAGTAAGCAACCAGCATTCAGAGAATGCTTATTTACACTTTGTAAGAGCCTGGTGTTGGGACTCTGGCTCCTGGATGTCCTCAAACCTGCACTTGGGCTTGGCCGAGGCCAGTTGGATGGCCTACCATTTGCAGATGGCTCTTGCTTCACTGTTGCATCTCCATCTGGGTAAACAACCTTGCAACAGCCCTGGTTCTTCTTAAGGCTGTCTGTTATGGACTGAACTGTGTCCCCTTCAGATTTATTTGTTAAAGTCCTAACCCCAGTACACCTCAGAATGTGACTGTATATAGAAGTAGGGCATGTAAAGCAGTCATGAAGGCTAAATAAGGTCATATGAATTGGCTGTAGTTCAATAGGACTGGTATCCTTCTAAGAAGAGGAAGAGCCACCAGAGCTCACTCTCTTTCCATGCACACAATGGCCATGTGAGCAAACAGTGAGAAGACACCAACCACAAGCCAAGAAGAGAGGGCTCAGGAGAAACCAAACCTGCAAGCACCTTGATCTTGGACTTCCAACCTCAAGAACTGTGGGAAAATTAATT